GCCCAAGTGGCTCTCTCGAAATGCTCAGCGAACAGTTCCAACCCTTCTCACTCTCCAGAGAGCCCGAGATGGAAAGAGGGATGGATTAACTCCCACTTTCCTACGAAAAAAAGGCGTAAGGTATCTTGCCCACGAACGCTGGAAGGAAGTGGCCCCTCTCCCAATTTCCTACTGCCTCAGTCACATCAAGTCCTGACTGGACCTCCACCTCCAACTCCCCTCATCGGCCCCTGTCCACTTCTGATACAAGAGATGCCCAGCAGACATCTGCTGACCACAGCGCGTGGACGAGAGCCACGTGTGTCCGTCAGAATGAGACGGCTCCATGCAGCTAACCGAGGCTCACTGCCGCATCCCAGCAGCTTAACGCAGTAAAGGCCGGTGCGCGTTTCCTGGCACAAGTCACAGGCTTATGCAGGTTGGGTGGCCCTGCCCCATTTTGTAGGTGCCCCTCCTGAGACATGTGGCTTCCAAGGTCCCTGCGGCAGGGAAAGAGAGAGGGAGGGACACCCCGGCACCTGACTGTCTTGGCCAAGAGGCAACCAGGGTCATTTTCTTCCACGCGGGCCATGAGACAAAACTAGCCCCAAATTCAGTGTAAGGAGGCTGGGATCTGGAAGGGAGGGGAGCATGATGAACCGGAAATGTCTATGTCACACGAGGACCCACATCCCAGCCCAGGCTCTGCCACGAGGAGACCCCAAAGGGAGTCCTGCGAGAGGAAGGGCCCAGACGAGGGAGACCAGGCGGCTCAGAGCGGCCGGGGCTGAGGCAGGCCCACATCCACACCCAGCCCGCTTGGGCCTCTGCTGCCCCTCAGGGCCCACATTCCCGGGGCCTTGTCTTAGGGGCCCCCACCAGTCCCTCCTTCCAGGGCCTCTGTGACCTTCCTCAGGGGACAGATGGTCCGCCCAGGGCTGGGAGTGCTTCTGCCCCGGCCCTGGCTGTCCTCACTGCTGACCAAATGCCTCACTTGGAGCACAGTCTGGGCCGGCTGCCGCCACATCTGTCTTCCACGTTGCAGCTTTGGCTCCAAGTGCTGGGAAGCCCACAGCCAGCTGTGCGCTTACAAGCAGAGGGAGACGTGCGGGCCAGGCCTTGTAGGGCCACTTGGGGGCTCTGGCTGCAGCCCCGGGTGAGCCGGCACCTTCAGGGTCCCAAGGCTCCACACCCAGGGCTGTCCACGCGCCGGCCACGTTCAGGGAAAGGGCCCAGGAGGCGGTCCGCTTGTGCACAAAGCATCCAGAACTGCGCTGTGCAACGTGGTAGCCCACTAGCCACGCCAGGGACCGGGGACCAAATGCAAATTAATCAGATTCACATTACCCATCAAGATGGCTACTTCCAAAAACAACCAGTGCTGGGGAGGCGGTGGAGGAATTCGAACCTCTTTGCACTGTTGGAGGGAAAGAAAAATGGCAGAGCGACTGCAGAAAACAGTATGGTGGTTCCTCAAAAAGTTAGACATAGAATTACATCATGATGCTGCAATCCCACTTCTGGGTTTATGCACAAAAGAACTGAGGGCGGGGACGTGAAAGAGACATTTGCACACCCATGTTCAGCAGCAACATTCTCCATAACCACAAAGTGGAAGCAACCCAAGTGTTCACGAGGAGATCAACAGGCAAAGACAGTGCCGTGTACATGCACGGTGGAGTATCACTCAGCCTTAACAAGAAAGGAGATTCTGACACCTGTCACAACACGGAAGAACCTTGAGAACATGATGCTGAGTGAAAGTCATAAGACGAATACTGTGTGATTTCACTTAGAGGAGGTACTTAGAACGGTCACAGTCATAGAGACAGAAAAAGCAGAATGGCCGTTCCCAAGGGTTGGGGAGATGGGGGGAAGAGGGAATGATGGTTTAATATGTACAGTGTCAGTTTTGCAAGATGAAGAAAGTTCTGGAGATGGTGGTGATGGCTGCACAGTAATGCGTGTGCACTTGGTACCACTGAACTGCTCACTTATAAATACTGCAGATGATCAATTTTATATACACTTCACCACAGTTAAAATTTTAAAAATTAAAAACAAAAAGCTCTATTGGAAAGTAATTGAATTTTAATGACCCCAGCCACACTCAAGTGTGCAAGGGTCAGGGTGGCTAGTGGCTGCTGTATTGAGCAGGGCAGATCAGGCATTGCCAGCGCTGCAGAAAGTTCTGTTGGACAGCATCACTAATGAAGGTCACCCTTTCTCCAACAGTTCCACTTCCTCAATCTGCCCCCTGCCCAAGACCACCAAAGTGCTCACGTGCCTCAGGTCATCCCTGGGGACTCTCCCCAGAGCATGCACACGCCCTGACTGAGGACACGGAGCCTTAGAGGGTATTGTCAGGGCAACACAGGATCCAAGCAGGGCCCCTCATCTCCCTCAACCACACTGTGCTCTCGAGGTGGGAGGTGGGGCTCAGACTAGGGGTACAGACATTGCTCCCCCAGCCCTCTTGCCCCATCTCCCTGAGCTCAGGACTGTACCCCAGGCCCTCTGCTCTGCAGGACCAACTGCCGTGCCCGGGACAAGCACCACTTGCTAAATCCAACAGGGGAAAAAAGGCCCAACTAGTCTTTCTCAGCTCCTCCAATTCCTCTCCTAAAATCTTTTTTTGGTTATGATAAAATTTGTTTCAGTTTAATAATCTGTATATTTCTCACGCTTTTTCAAGAAACTAACCAACCCATCCCATTATCCAAAATTGAGGTACAGTTGGATCACAGGGGCGCAAATGAATGAACTGAAATTAACTGGCAAAACCAAGAGAACGTTCTAGATCTTCTAGAGAAAGTTCCAGACCTTCTAGAAAGTTCTAGTCCTACCAGCTCATGGGCACAAGGTGTGTCCGACAAAGGGACCCTCCACACCAGGGAGGAGGCAGATTTGCTCCACCAGGCTCAGGAAAATCCACTCCCAGTGACATACCTGATAATGGGGGGCCAAGGCTAACCCACATATGCCACAGTAAGAAATATATGTCTGTTCTCTGCCCCCGGCTCCTGGCACAAACCTCCTGAAACTCTCATAATTTCCTGAGTGATAGGGTGGGAGAAGCATCTTTGGTTATTCATAAGGGGCCCCTTTCAACAGCAAGGGCCTGTGCTGATGAGGGGACCCTCGGTGGGCCCATCAGAACAGGGGCTGGTCGCCAGAGGAATCAGCTTTATGATTTAGAGAGCTGGAACTTCCAGCCCCACCTGCGACCTTCAGGGAGCGGAGTGGAGCTGGAGACTGAGTTCAGTCACCCATGGCCAGTGATTCCGTCAATCGTGCCCGTGTCATAAAATCTCCATGAAAACCCTAAAGGGTGAAGTTGGAGAGCTTCCAGGCTGGTGCTGGGGTGGGGGTGGGGGCGTCCAGAGAGCCACAGGAGCCCCGCGCCCCTCCCCACGGGCCCCAGGCAGTTAGCGTCGGAAGCAGTGGCATCAGCAGAGGGAACAAGTGGTTTTCCTTTGCCAGGACTCAGGACCCTAATTCCACGCCTGCCCTTTTGTCCACTGGTTTGGAGGGCAGTGTAACGCTTGGGGGGAAAGCACATGTTCTGCAGGCAGACGAGATTTTCTATCTACCAGTTTTGTCGAGTTGGTGTGAAGATTCCCTAAGATGACACAGGGTAAGTGACCCGCACGGGCCTGGCACACAGGGCCACGTGTGAAGAGCTCAACCTGTGCAGCCATCATGGTATCAACATTATTACTACGATTACATTACATTAAAGGTATTTTTTCAAAAATAAGGTGCAATTAAGGGTGACAACACTCTGCCAAACAAAGTAAGCTCTGAGCATGTAACAGACTTCGCCCTGCTTATGGACGAGACGGCTGCATTCCAGAGAGGCAGGCAGGGGCCTCCTGGTCCGGTCCAGCGACCAGCCGGCTCACAGTCTCCCTCTGGCTCCTGACCTATCTCTTCACTAGGGCCCTGGTGGAGGGTCTTGCCTAGGGGCCTACTGAGTTCCCAGAGGCTCATCATGAACCAAGAAGCAGAACTGAGCACATGTCCTGCCCTCTCACTGCTCGCCCCCAGCCAGGCCTCTGCAGGACCCGGTTCACTGACAGGCTGGGGCGCACAGCCCTGCTGCTTCACAACTCCCCACCGCCTGGGCCTCCCTGCCCACCTCCAGCCCCTGCCAGCCCGGGCTTCCTGCCGCAGATCCGCCCCTCCCACAACGCTCGCCCACAGCGTGTCCTGGTTGCCACCCTGATTATCTTCCCAGCAGGGCTGACCCGAAGCACCAGGTGGGGGAGGGAGGACCTCCACATGGCCCAGGGCTGAGGGGACTGCACTCTGTGCCGAGTCAGCATCCTGCACCTCCTGGTGGGGGTGGGGGGGCTGGAACGAGGGGCAGGGCCCCCACTTAATCTCCCAGGATTAAAGTAGACAGGGGACACGTGCCTCGTGGTGCCCTAGCAGGCGTAGGTGGCACACGTCGCCCCATTAAGGAGCCAAGCCTCACAGGGAGGAGGGGACGCTCTCTTCAGTCTGCACTTCCTCTGACTACCTCAAGGAGAAGCCTCCAGGGGAGTCAGTCCATCTGTCCCCCGCCCTGACACACACTCATCTCCCGTCTGAGCGGCGCAGCCGCAGTGCAGCCGGCAGAAGGCAGGACTCTCCAGCTAGGATAACATCGCTTTATATGTCACTTCCAGGTTAACTTTACAATAAAGGGAGGTTGCCTTTGTGAATACTGTTAAGTTTTAAAAACAAGTCAGCTGATGTATAGGAAAATGTGCAGGTCGGTACGGCCAAAACTCAAGAGAACTTAGCTTACAAATAGCGGTGCCAAGTCAGAATTACCCCCCACCTGCAGATGAGAAAACTGAGGTTCAGCGAGGTCAACGGGAGGGCCACCTTTTCTCAGCTTTGGACCTGGAGAGCCTCCCTGTGGCCACATCGCTCACTCCCAGCTCCACCAGGAAACAATGGCAAGCGTGGGTGCCCCAGCCCCGCTGCGCCCCGGCCTCCCGGCCCTGCCCCCGTGCCCCGCCCCCACTCACGATGTTCATGAGGGTGAGCAGGTACTTCTGCACGTGCTCCTTCCCATGGAACTGGACCACGGAGTCGTCCACCCCCAGCAGGACCTCGATGTTGTAGTCGTCGTCGGCAGCGTGCCTGCGCACCCTCCGCCTGGAGCTGTTGACGCGCTCCTCCAGGACGCCCAGGGCGCGGCTGAGGGTGTCCAGGCTGCCTGGGGAGACCCCTGCAAGGAGAGAGGACACAGTCTGCTGCAGCAGCCCGGGCTCACCGGGGACATCGCAGCAGGACAAAACGTCATTCAGACGCAGCCTGCCGGGTGCCAGCCTGGCTATCACCTTGCCAAGGGCACTCCTGTCCCCACTTCACAGAAGAGCAAACTGAGGTTCAGAGAGGGCAGCAGGGACGTGCCCAGTCAGCTCAGACCCAGCAGCATGCAAACCCGCAGCGCGGCCCGCACAGAGGCCAGGTCCGGCACCCAGCGATGAACAGAGGCCGGCAGCTGGGCAGGCAGAGCACCCTTTCCACCCTCTCACACACTTGCACCTTCCAAAGGGCCACCCAGTGCCAAAGGGCAGGCTCCCAGGTGTTGCCACCCTGGTTGTAACTGGGGAAACTGAAGCCCAGCCCAGGTGGCATGTGTTCCACTGCGTCTTTTCAGACAGCTCCCTTTAGAACTTCCTGCTCAGTCCCTGCCTAAAGCCAGGCCCCCTGTCTGTGTGCCAGTCCGTCCACACAGATTCTGGGCTGGGACCCCGACACGGGCCCTCCCCTGGTTTACCTGTGCCTGCCCCTGGTGCCAAGTGCCGAGGAGATGAGAAGCTGCTGGACCTAACCATGCAGGGACCAGGACGAGCCTCTCTCATGACAGATCCTCCACCACCGTCTGTCTGGCAAGGGCTCCCTCTGGTCCCCACAGGCTGGACACCTTGCTCAGAGTGGGCAGTCCACCTGGGGCCTGGGCCTGAGGGGCCTCGGCTGAGGGGCCAGGGATGGAGCTCCATCCTGCTCAGGACCCCAAGATGCATCGCACTGTCTGTACAGCTGCAGCTTCTGCCTCAATTCTCTTCTGCCTCCCCACTGGTCCTGGAGCCCACCCTGGACCAGAGACCCTGCCCCCACCTCTCAGGGTTGCAGCCGAGCTAAGCAGGCTGACTGTCAGCATCACTGGCAGGCCCAGACCACACTGCCCAAAATGCCCCAGTGCCAAGGCCTACCCCTCCCCCCGCCCCCACACTAGTCTCTGTGTCTGTGACAGGTCCTTGACCCCAGGGTCCTGCTCCTCCTTGGCCTTCCTGGTGGGGGGAGGGGCTGTGTCTCAGAGCCTCCCACCTTAGGAAGGACCTAGAACTTAGGTTATCATGCCATCACCAACCCTGCAGGCCTGCAGCTGAGGGTGGGGCCCTTGCAGAATCGTCCTTCTTGCTTGTCCCTTAGGCTCTTGTCTGCTGCCTCCTCCAGGCATGTCACAGTGGCATGCGACAGACCCTGAAGACACAGCACGGTTTCTGAGAACAGCAGGGTAACCCACAGGCAGCTGAGGTGCCTGCCACCAGGGTCCAGTGCTGACCATGGGGCTCTTTGCTATGCATTATTGTCCCCATTTTACAGACAGGAAGGGCCCCGACGTGGCTGACTGTCAGCCAGAAACTCTCTCCTTTACACCTGCTCTCTGTCAGGTCTGAGGCACAAACCCGCAACCTGGCCACGGACAGAGACTGAGAAAGAAGGGTGGAGGTGAAGGAGCAGCAGACAGAGAAGGACTTCACAGAAACAAGGAGTACGCTGAGGCCAGGGCTGAGCGGCTCCTTGCACTCCTGTGCCTCCTGGGATCCCCGTGCCGCCTGCCAGGGCCCCACCCCGCCCC